GAATCGTAATATGGAATGGAATGTGATGAATAGAATAGAACAGAACAGAACAGGTGTGATTGGACACACAAGGAATTTGTCTTTGGTGAGTGTGCTGTAAGGGTACATAAAAAATAAAATACATTCATCAACAATTATAAGATAAAACACTTAGTGATAGTCATAGATTACTCTAAGCAATCAAATCATACATGGGTTACTAATACGCAATCAAAACATACTAGGAAAACAAATAAAAGAATATAAATCATAGAGATACAAGCAACACAGTTATAGTCATAAGTGGGAAGAGATAGGTAATAGGAAGGATGAGAAGAAGAATAGTAATACAGTCTTATTAAGTAATTCGACAGTGTTGAGGGAATTATTTGATTAGCAGAGTGATGGCGTTTGGGCAAAAAACTCTCCTTGTGTCTAATTGTTCTGGTGTGCTGGGCTCTATAGCGTCGTTTTGAGGGAAGGAGTTGAAACAGTTTATATGTCCGGGATGTGAGGGGTCTGTAGATGTTTTCACAGCCCCCTTTTTGATTCATGCAGTATGCGGGTCCTCCATGGAAGGCAGGTTGGCAGCCATTGTTTTTTCTGCAGTCCTAATTATCCATTGAAGTCTGTCTCTGTCCTGTTGGGTTGCAGAGCAAACAAACAATCATATGACAACTTGGAGGTGGGCAGACTTCTTCCAGAAATTCCCAGCCAGCCACAGATCCTGGGAATTGAAGTCCACCCATCTTCAGGTTCTCAAGGCAGAGAAACGTTGATCTATTCTAGGATGTGCCCGATGGATCCAAACAGACCCCTTCTGACCTGGTCCTCACGTTCATGTAAGGTCCAGCGTCTCTGAGGCCAGGGGTGAGTGACACACTATCTTTCTTCTTCCTGCCACTCAGCTCCTGCTTCAACGGGGCGACCTGTGTGGACGGCATCAACACCTTCACCTGTGTCTGCCCACCTGGCTTCACTGGCATTTATTGTGAACATGACATCAATGAGTGCGACTCCAGACCCTGTTTGAATGGAGGGACTTGCCAGGACAGCTACGGGACCTACAAATGCACCTGCCCGCAGGGGTACACTGGACTTAATTGCCAGGTATTTCCATTTCCTGTTCCAGGTGGAATATTCGGCCTGGAATTTCAAGGAGGGGAGGACAGTAGTCCTCGTCTAGTGACCCCCAATTGGCACGAGCAATGTGGTAAGGAGGTGAAGTGATTGCTAGCTGATCTCACTTCAAGTCTCCTTTGCTGCACAGACTGCAAAGGTTACAAATGCAATGGGAGTAGAATAGAATTAGAAGAAGAATTAGAAATAGAATAGAAATAGGAATAGAATTAGGAATAGAAATAAGAATTAGAAATAAAATAGAATTAGAACAAGAATTAGAAATAGACTAGAAATAGGAATAGAAATAAGAATTAGAAATAGAATAGAATTAGAAATCGAATAGAAATAGGAATAGAAATAGGAATTAGAAATAGAATAGAATTAGAAGAAGAATTAGAAATAGAATAGAAATAGGAATAGAATTAGGAATAGGAATAGAATAGAATAAGGAAGAAGAATAGAATAGAATAGAATAGAATAGAATAGAACAGAACAGAACAGAATAGAATAGAATAGATTAAACAGATTGTCAGAATTGGAGACTAACTGAGCCCAGTCCAGTCATCAACGGAAAAGCTCCAGCTTTTCCTGGCCAGGTAGCACTTTTCCTAGGTTTTTGAGCATTGCAGAACATGGTAAGGATCGGTCAGAGCCCACAACCGAGAGAATTGGGGCTGCCAGCCTGACCAAGGGGGGTCCAGTCAGCACCTATGTGAGCCTCTTGAGGGTCCCAGCGAAGCAAATGGCGGGAAACATCCCCACGATCTCTGCAAGGCAGCCCAGGTGTCAGCGGTCCAAGCAATGCACCCCTTAGAAAGCAGAACTCTGAGGCAGAAAAATTCCCCAAAGAAGAATTTATTGGGTGCCTCATCATGTTGGCACAACTGGGGAAAGCCAACTCTGAAAGTTCCCGTGGCTTTCACCCAATTAAAAAGTGACAGTTCCCCCTTTCCCCCCACTGGTGACGCTGTCCAATCAAGGTGCTGGCTGGTTGCTTGGTTACTTGTTCCTCCCTCTGGCCAGCCCCCTGTGAGAATGTCCTTGGTTCCCACAGGGAAAACTTTCTTGGTTGGGCTACAAAAATCCCATCTAGCTATTCCCCCCCTCCCCCCATTGTGTGGCAACCCTGAACCAGCCGGGTTCACTTCAGAGTTGACCCCAGGTGTATTGGTGCTCCTGTCAGGGCACTCGTAGAGTTTCAGGTGACAGAGACCAAAATGAGAAAGAGAAGCTCCCACTTCCGGCATCTCTTGGGCACCGTCCCTCGCCGGGATTGCTCTCCGAGACGTCGCTTAGCTTCTGGTTAGCCTGCGGCAGCCCCAGCACCCATGGGGGCAGCTCTTCTGACCCCTCACCCTATGCTCCGTCCTCTTCCCCCTCCTCTCTGCAGAACCTGGTCCGCTGGTGCGACTCCTCTCCCTGTAAGAATGGAGGGAAGTGCTGGCAGACCAGCAATCACTACCGCTGCGAGTGCCCGAGCGGCTGGACCGGCCTGTACTGCGATGTACCCAACGTCTCTTGTGAGGTGGCTGCGCGACGCCAAGGTGAGTCCTCCTTCCTACTCGGTTTCTCCGTGCTGGAGGGCAGGGGAACCATCCAGCAGGCGCCTCCTTCCAGGATCCTCTATCCAGAACTCCAGACAACCCGCCTTGTGGTCTGCCTGATGGGAATCCTCCTGACTGGACCGTTGGGTGAGGGGCTGAAGAGGGTGGGGTCGCCTGGGCTGGTGGCCAGAAAAAAAATGCAAGGAAGAAGAAAGGGTTTGTCCAAGCTTGGGCCTGGACACTGTGATCAGATGTCAAGGTTCCGGCAGTCACCCCCCATTAAATCATGAGTCTGGAGCCAAACTTCTAAAACTTCAAAAGGATTTATTGGGACTTAACACGCCAGCACGACCCGGGTGCAGCCGACTCTGAGACACATCATTCATTGTCACCCTTGACCCTTGAAGGTTTTCCCTTCACCCCTCTGGGTGTATCCTAATTCATATTCTCCAATGGGACACCTCCATAGTCAAGAGTCATCAATCATGCTCTCCAGTTAGAATTTTGCCCGGCAGAAACTTCGGTCACCTAGTTACTATCTCTGAAAACATTTATGGAATGTAGTTTCGGTTTTGTAAGCTGCCGCACTTGCTCCCCCCTCCCTTTCTGTTAAAGACCAGAGAAATATTTTATGAG